GAGAAATTAATAAACTAAAACATGTTGTTAGTGTGTAGACGTCACTGCAGACCCTCTCCTCAGTTCCACACATTGATTTTTCCAGCGTGTCGTCCGTCACCAGTGGTCCTGTTGCACCACAACGTGTCTCAGAAGGTGGATATCGGGTCGGTCTCTGCACTGGTTCTGGTGCTTGTCTCACAGGCTAATACTTCACTAATTACTGCGCAGTGCATAATTGCATACAGACCATCATTACCCCGAACAAGTGGGTGAGATTTTAACTTTCAAAGTCAGAGAAAGCAGACTGAGGCGAGCTGTTTGTCTGCTCCCACTGATGACTATCACCGTGTTTGGTAATCAAACAATGCTGTGAGAATCCCTCTAAATTAGCCTGATGGGAATGATAAATTGCCAATTGTGTCCTGGAGGAGGGATTAACTACTTTTTTTTTTGGCAGAGAATTTACCGCCGCTGCCAACTTGAGAGACAGATGTTTATTTAGTTTTTCTGCCAGTTACAATGAGTTTCCAAGATGAATGGGGACGCAGACATAATGACTCCAAAGAAGAATCTGTCTCGGCCCTGTGATGACATATTCTATTTCTGAGGCGCAAATGCATTCCTGGCTGAAATCTTGCTGCGTTTTCTGTTTTCATTTTGATGTATAAAGCATTCAGGGCATGTATTTTGTGAATAAGGACACTTAACAGAATAAATACCTGCTGGCTGGCTGTAGAGACAGTCAGAGGAAGGTTGGGCTGTGACACCTCGACATGCCGCAGCAGGAACAGTGAGCATAATATGATCTATCTTCACTTTAAAGGCACAGGCGCTTCTTCTTCTTTTTTTCAATTTCACCTGCTTTATCTCGTCACACCTGGATTTACCTGCCAGAACCAAAAATCTCTGCTCGACTCCAGACATCACTCCCGTGTCAGCCTGGCTCTCAGTGAGGACAGCTTATAAGATTTTACTTTTAAGGCTTCTCATGGTTTCTGTCCCAGCTATAGCTTTGACCTCTTGGGCAGATGGATGTCATCTGTTCCAGGGGCCCGGCTGGAACCTAAAGGGGACAGTTTAGCTCAACCTTTTTAAGTCTCTTCTTAAAACATAGTTTAATATTTGTACCTTTTCCAGCACTGCATTGGCTTTTATATACTGAATTCTATTTTTATTGTCTTTATTTTGCTTTAACTTTGATTCTATAAATACAGATTATCCTTATTATTGTTAAAATAATGACTGGATTTTAGTTTGGTCCACTGAGGCACATGTTAATATCACACATGTGCACAACATGAAGAATTTAATCCTAACTATTACTGCTGAGAACGGAGCAGTAATAGTTCTGTGTGTACTCGGGAGGCTAAAGTCAACCTCACATTTGGATGTTTACAGGATTTAAATCCACTCCTGCGCTTGTAGCTGCTGGTTCTGACCACAAGATGGCGTCCAAGCCTCAACATTTAAACCAGCGGCCGGCGCTGCTTCGTGCTGCCTTCAGGTGCCTCTGAAGCAGGTAACTCACACCGGACACACGCTGGAGAGCAACGAAGTCCGGCGTTTGCTTGAGTTGTTTTTGGTATTTTGGAGACCTTAAAGGCGGGTTTAGAGGAGGAGGAGAGGAAGGACGAGCTGTGGAAGGTGAGTAACACATGTGAAGTTATCCCACATCAACCCGCAGGTGTGTTGTGTCTGCCTGTTTACTTTTTATTTATTATTATTTATTACTTTTAGCTAAGCGTGTGATTGCAAACAGCAAACAGTTCATCCTCTGTGGCTGTTAGCTTGTTAGCTGCTCAAACAGAGACTCAACATGTCGCAGAAACAGCTCGTTGGTCTGATATGTTTTCATTTTAACACCTCATAAAAACACACCTTGACTCTGGGAACGTCTAGTCACCTGCTCCAACTAGTTTCCTGTGTGTAGTTAGTAGCCAAGTTCCCATTTCTCCCACGTCACCCGAAGGCAGCACGCGGTACTTCAGGGCGCCATTTTGGCTCCACAGCTTCCTGCCTTGATGCAGTTCCTCTCTGTGGTCACGTGTTCAAATCCAGCGTCACTTTATTAATAGTGATAATAATTTAGATTTTTATTTTATTTTTTTAACATTTCTTTCAAGTAGCATCGAACTTCCATTTCAGAATGAATTGTCAGATGTCTGCAGTAGGAGAAGCTGGTCTGATTGATTTCAACAGGTTTGTGAGACTTTAAAGAGCCTGAACATGAACAGCTTTGACAGATGGATGCATGAGAGCTACCTGTAGGCTGCAAACATCATCACCTGGGATTTAAGCCCCGCGCACACTTGTCTTTGTCTGGCTATTTCTATGATGATTATTGTTATTTTTAAATTTTAGAATATTTTAAAATATTTATTTATTTTACATGAAATCGAACCAGAACCAACAGACCCGGTGAGTTTGGCCCAGCAGCGCGCTGATAAACACCGTGTACCGGCGGCTCGTGCACCGGAGCGCTCCAGTGGATCCGCTCTCACTGCGACGCTCTCAGAACCAGAGGCGAGCACAACATGTAAAACACATAAGCTAAAGATAGGCTATAGATATTGAGAAACGTGCGCGCCCACACACAGACACACACCACGCACACACTCGCTCGCACATGCGGGCGCGCGTGCCCGCTCCTCCACCCCCTCCTCTCTCTCTCTCTCTCTCTCTCTCTCTCTCTCTCTCTCTCTCTCGTGCTTCACCCTCACACCTCAGCAGCAGCGTGCAAATAAACGCACGCACACACTCACGCACACACGCACACACACTCACGCACACACACATATACACACATTTCTGCATCCTGTATTTTTTTACGCACCGGGAACCGGGCGCTTTATAAGCGGTCGTGGATTATGATGCCAGTTTTTATAACAGCGGAATATTGGCCTCTTCTTCGACTCCAACTGTGAGCAGCAGTAAAAAAAAAAAAAAAAGAAAGAAAGAAAGAAAAAATAATAATCGCGTCTTTTTTTTTTTTGTACATTTTTATTCTGTCAGATTTCTGTGTAATTCGGTCCTCCGTTACTTCTGAACGCCGAGAGACCGCCGAGACGCAAAGCCTACGTTCAATGCTGTTGGAACATGTCCTATGTTCCCTTTCAAGGTAAGACAGCAGCAGATGTTTTATATATAATTTTTTTTTTTTTTTTTTTACACCCACTGCATCTTTCTTTTCTGTCCTCCTCCTCCCCCGTTCCTCACCATCCTCTCTCTCTCCCTCTCTGCCTCTCTGTCCCTCTCTTCCCTCTCTATCATATGAAATATCTAAAAGCACCATAGCCGACAGGTGCATAGAGATAGCCCAGAGTGCCGTGCAGATAGATGCCCACACACGGATCCAGCGCAGCAGCAGCAGCAGCGTCTGTCGGTGGAGAGCTGTGCATGCGGCAGTTATAGTATTGTAATAAGGCATGCATGTGCACTGGTGTCACGGTCCTACTCTTGCAGGAGCATACCTCCATTGGAGAGCAAATCGCTGGTATTCCTGTAATAATCCTGCTACAGAGCGCACTCACAGGGAGTTTGGCTGATGTAGTATCTGCTGCTCATGTATTAGACAGTTGGTGCTGCCATGGATGGCTCGTTGTGTGTATTATTTGGTGTCATCTTCCCACAAGCAGAGTGAGGTTTTGTTTGTTAATTATCTCTTGTGCTCTCCAGAAAACACGCCTGTAAGGACTTTGCTCCAGAGTAGTGTTTCATAAGATGTGTTTGGGGTTTTGTCAGCAGCCTGAATGGACTGGATGCTGCCTCCTGCGTGCAACAAAAAAAAAAACTTTGGCCCACTGAAATATGTAGATGACCAGAAGGAGAGGCTACTTCATGCTCTCTTGCCGTTCATTCCCTCATACTCGACTGTGAGTGGGTGAAAGGCGCTTCAGTGTACGGTGAAGGCAGATTCCCTTGGTATCATCGCACTGCAACTGTGACTAATGCTATATGTGAGCAGGCGTGCTGCAGTGAGCTGCCTCGCATCTACCCAGTAGAAACGTTCAATTTGCACTCTGTGTGTGTGTGATTGGAGAGGGGGGATCATTTGGGTGAGAAAAAAACCAGCGAGGTCCTCAGGGTGCGATGGCTGGAGTCAGACCGGAGTGAGATGTTAAAGTTTGGAGGAGCCGTGAAGGACTGGGGGTTAGTGTGAGCACCGGTTATACAGGAGGGTAGATCCCACAAAAAACAGCCCCACAGCAGGGATGTGTGTGAGTAGACGGCAGTGTGTAGTCGGTGTGTGGGATGAGCAGAGAGTGGAGGTGTGCTGCATGTGACTGTATGGCTGAGAGCGAGTGATGCTGTGAATACAAGCACTCACAGACCTGTAACCCTTTGTAGAACAATGCCTCCAAAATGGAGACTAATCTGAAAACCTCAGCCGTCGGCTCCTGGACTTCACCGTGACCCCGGAGCCGTCATCCGAGCTGCACATGAAAAGAGAGGCCAGACTGAGCTGTGGCAGCCGGCTCGGTCCGCTTTCACTCTGCTTTCTATTCCCTCCCAGCCAAGCAGATAATGGCCAAAATGCCCTCTTGTGCAAGTGCAGCTATAGAAGTTGGTTGCATAATGTTGATGAGATGCTCTGCCACTCTGTGTG